ATTTACTACGTATGCTATATGCTAGTTATTTACTACGTATGCTATATGCTAGTTATTTACTACGTATGCTATATGCTAGTTATTTCTAAGCGTTGACGGGGAGCTAGCTTGGAAAGCAGGATGACCTGTTAGACCAAACTGACGGACGGTCATGTGACCAGTGCGCCTCACTGCGGCTGCAGGTGGATCAGAGCACCGTCTGAGGCGGGTCATGGCCTCCATGGATCCAGATGGTTGCTGGTTGGGAGGTTTTTACCCGCCTGCAGCAGAGCGAGTGGATTGCTGCCTGTGTGGGTGTTGATCGTTAGGAAGAGGAAACATTGATGGATGCGCAGACGGTGGTTTGCATTTCAGCTGCTTTGACTGACCAGTGATGGACGTGTCTGCAGCTGCAGCAGAGAGCGGTTTGGATCTGATAGCAGGAACATCTTAAACCTGCCTGGAAGTCTGCCTGCCTCCGCTCTGTGCCGCCCTCTCTAATCACAGGTACCGCCTTTCTGCCTGCAGAGGGAGCTCCAGGCCCAGATCTCTGGACCAATCAGAGCGTCCTCCAAGGAAGGCCCCGCCTCCTCCAGAGAAGGTCCCGCCTCCTGCCACCAGCATCCCTCTAAGATGTTCCTGGGCAGCTTCTTGAAGCCGTACTTCAAGGACCGGCTGACAGGACTGGTACCTACCGCCCCTCCATAACCCGCAGACTGACCTGGTGTCAGCAGCGGCCCAGTGACTGCCTCTGTGGTTCTGACCAGGGTCCACCAGCCAACCCGGAGGCCAAGCTGAAGGCGCTGAGGATGACGGGATGTCTAGATGACAGGAAGCTCAGGATAAGAAGATGTAGGAGGAAAATTCTTAGAAAACATGGTTCTGATGTAATGTAACGGGTCAGAACCTGGTTCTGCTCTGACCCGCTTCTCTAATGAGTCTGTCTGTGTTCAGGGGACAGCTGGCAGAAGACCCTGCTGATCCACTCGGTGACCAGGGACCACCTGAGGAGGGTGATGCAGCCCAAGCTGTCCAGGTACCAGAAAGGAACCCGCTCCTTTGGGTCCTCCTGTCAGAGTCCGATTGGGTTTACGGTCCTTCTAAAACCCCCCCCCCCCTACAGGTTGGACTTCCTGAGTAAGAAGCTGTCCTCGGCCCAGGAAGCAGAAAGACAGCAGCTCATGGAGCAGATGGACGGCTTGGAGAAGGAGATCCAGCTGCTGAGGTGAGACGTTTCAACCCAGACCCATCTAACCCGGGCTGAACCCGGGCCAGAACCATTTCATTTCCCTAGACCCATCTAACCCGGGCTGAACCCGGGCCAGAACCGTTTCATTTCCCAGACCCATCTAACCCGGGCTGAA